GCACCTTAGCAGTATTTCCACTTTGCTGTTTCCACTGTTATTTTCAACTGGTTCAGCTGTGCGAGTTTGGATTGACCCAGTTTTATCACAGTTAGCATTCTGTTTAGAATAAGAAAACACACTACACCCCATTTTATATTTTCAGTATATTTTACAGATGAATACCGAAAACATAGGTGCATGCCATTCTGTCAGTCTCTTCTTCTTATAAAGCTTTAGTTATGATCTGACAATACCAGAAGAATTAATAGCATTTTACAGTTTTGCAGTCAGCCTGTCGGAGATTCCCCATTACAAATAATGAAAAAGTGATTTTGGGGTCAAAAATGAAACTTCTGAAAAGAAGGCTTCCTTATAAGAAAAAATATTCCTCAATCTTCAACTTGGAGTTTAAAGGCAGTATCTTCCATACTCTGAACGAATCTCCATCACTCTGGGTGCTTCTCTTCATCTTAAAGTGGACAGTTCTGACATGAAAAATTAAGCAACACACTAAACATCAGCCCAAATGCTAAGTTATTCCTGTCACTGAACAGCACAGAAATTAACTCCGAAGATTACCCTCAAATCACATGCTAACGTTAAACATTCAGACATCAACAAAATATGTACTAATCAGCAGATTTAACTGCAGACTTCAGATACGCAGTGTAGCTCTTTCAACTCACACACAGAAATATTCAACTAGCAAAACTTACTGTTATTCTGAACAGACCACATCACATGAGCCAAGCCGTTTTGACAGCAAGTTACACAAGAAGAATAACAATACAACAGAGTTGCAAACAGCAAAACATAACAATGCCAGGATACACCTCTAGAAATACTTTTTGATATAAAAGCATAAATCTTTAGCATATAAACTAAAGATTTAAACCTCTTACAAGAGAAGCAGTAGCAGCCTAGCAGCTGGGGTCAATACCCATACTGTATTATGGCAACTAAACAAATATTCAGTGTAACTCGCTGTCTTCAAAAGGCTGTGTAGCAAAGCAGCTAAGATTGTGAGTGTGTCTTGGGTCCTCTTTTCAGCTCTGGAAGAATCGACTTTGGGCAATCTTTTAGATCTCTGATTTGTTGTATCAGTGAACAATGGAGTTCTGCTTTATGACTAGAGACGACTTCTCTGGGGATGACTGAAAAAGCCATTTCCCCCAATCATCTATCTGCTTCCTGTTTGCATGGACAATTGAGATGCTCACAAAATGTTTCCTCAACCACTATTGTGCAGGCGAACTTTTTTTTTTTTTTTTTTAAAAGGTAAACCAAAGTCAGACCAAATTTTTGGACAGAGATATGGGAACGCTATTCACACTCCCTAGACACTGAACTGTTAGGCTGACATGCTGTTATGAGCAATTTTTAAATCACTGTTACCTTCTACTGTACTATTCTGCAGGTAGAAATGGACCTATCCTGTAATACTAGTATGACTGGAGATTTAACACTACTCTCTAAAACTGTATTAACAGCCACTTCAACAAAAATATCTCGGTAAGGTATATACACACACGTGTAGAGAAATCTGAGCTCAAGACACGATTCTTCTCTTATTTTGTCAGTAGAAAAGAGCACGTCTCCTTTTCGAATCAAAGCTTGCAAAAGACTATTTTCTTCCCAGTAACACTAAAAAGTTGATTTTGAGAAACAAACCCTTTCTCAACCTCTGGGTTTCAGAGCAATGTAATGTAGAACGACCATGTCTGTCCAAAATCTTCCTACTTTATGGTTTATTAAAATATTTACAACCAGAGTTCTCTTCAACTACTGACAGAGAGTCTATATCCTTAAATGGATCTGTTAAGAACTGTTTTTTTATAAAAATATAAACATACAAGTACATACACAACATGAAATAGCAGAAGTTGGAGCATCAAGTACTAGAACCAACAAGTCTGTAGAGTCCTAGTCTTTAAAAAAAAGTCAGCTACAACTCCTAAAATTATTTCTTCAGTTCAATGCCATTTTTCCTCTCGAAAAGGTACATTCTGTTTTCCAAGTCCTTTTTTTTTGTTCCTTCTCCCTACCAGATTCCAAAGTAGGCCCTTCAGACCAAATTTTGCTTTGTCCACTAGCCTCTACCTATGAAGCCAAGAAAGAAATATTCCAGAGAAAAATGAGTAATCTGAACAAAAGTTCCAAAAAAAAAAACTTCTGCAATTTGTGCCAGTATTTTTTTCCACAGTTATAATTTTAAACAGCACATTCCAATGATTTTGAAATATGAAAGTATTAGAGAAAATATTTCCTACTCAGAAGATTGCACTTTCAAGTCTCACATGTGAAATGTGGGGGACTGTGGGTCTCTCAAAGCTAGAAGGCAGGAAAAATATCTCAAGTTTTTTAGGGCTACAAGCAACAAATCCTCTACTAAAACCAAAATAAAAACAGACAGAGGTTATGCTAAGAACTAAAAGCATAAAGTTTATGTAAGAGAGAGCACAAAACTCAAGAGAAATGCTCATCTGAAAAATATGTAAAGAAGCCTTTCAAAAAGACACGTTTATTCTAACATGTCTTAGAGGGAACGCGATCTCTTCTACCACTTTATTTTCACATTGTGTGCAGCTTATCTGAAAAGAAGTACTTCTCACAGGTCCTAGAGTGTACACTGTAAAACAGTGTAGACCCTGTAGGGTTGCACCAAGTAGCCAAGCAGCATTTAAAAAGAGAATTATCTTTATTATGAGAAGTCTTCACATTTGGAAAAAAAAGGGGGGGGGGAATTTATTGCAATATTTTTTTCTTTATATTAAAGACTAGATTTCTGGTATTTCAAGTACCACTCTTGACTAATTTCAGAAAACATGACCCTTTTCCTCTCTGAATATTTCTGTGTTCTGGAATGACACTCATGTACACCCAAGGATATTAAAGCGATGTGTTAACGTGATGTACAAAATGTGCTATTTGTCAGCCCGAGAAAGGCACTGTGTGCAGATATGGTTGTCCACTCTCCTTGCATTTTTTTCTTTTTTTTCTTTTCTTTTTCTTTTTTTAAGATCTGAGAACATAATTCAAGGTTTAGTTAATCTCTCAAACTAATGAACATAGTTTCATTTTTGTGATTTGACAACTTTCTCTTCTAAACTAAATCATAAAACCACCGCCAAGAAAAGAACAAGTTCAGAGAGAACTGTTAGAGGTACAGCCTGATGATGAGTGCAAATGCATTCCTGAAACTACTCCCATACTGATTAGAAGAACACAGGAGCTGCTCGGACTTTTAACTGTCTGCTGGAAATAATTTTTGGCACTCTTATGCTGACTGTGTAGGCAGGACAATATCTCTGCAATATCTTACTGCCCATCTCCCAATGGATATGCAAATAGCTAATATACATTTGATCTTCCCTGCAGAACCATTACCTCTGAAACCGCTATGAGAGCTGATGGGAAAACCGGGACCTTGAATCATGGAGCAAAATCAAAGTTGTTAAAACTAGCTGAGATTTACTGACTTAAAATACCTAGAATACAGACATTTTTAAGGGGATGGGAGAAAGCCAAATAGAAATTACAAGAAATCTGCTATTGCCTCATGTTCACAAAAAGGAAAGAAATTAAGATTTCAGATGATAATCAAAACTGTTCCTATGTCACTTCAAATGTAAGTTTGAATGGATAAACATCTCATTCCTTATAAGCAACAGAGACAAATGTGAGAAGCTGTATTATTTTGCTCTAGAGAGATTGACTTTGATATGAGACTGCATTGGTGAACACTACAATGCATACACTAAAAATATATCACTATCATGATTTTAGAAAAAGCATAGCATACATTTGCTTATCCACTGACACTTACTTTTAATTATTTCACTTGTTCAGTAATTCCTTCATCTGTGACTCAGCTATTTACATCCTGCACAAACACAGCAACTATGCATTTATGCTGGCTGCTTATCTTTGAAGATATTTTCCCACCTTTCTTTCTGCATTTGTAATTAGATGGGAAAAGTAAACAACTCTGCTAGCCAGTAGAGTCTAAAAAAAATGTCCGTGTTATTCATGAAATGTTAGAGACTGGTGACTGAAAACATAGCCCCCTCTCAGCAAGTGGTGCCCGCCACTGATGACAACACTATTCATTATATTGATTCTGTCTGTACGTACTTCTGTCTGTACTCTACAGATTTCACTTTCCTCAGATGTTTGCACCTTTCACATGAAGGTGTTCAGAAGTCAACTTCCTATGTAGATAGACTGCGACTTAAAAGGCAGAAAACTGCAAGCACTCCTCTCTAGAGGAAACAATCACATAACATTTGAAAACTTAAGAAATATAATTCCCACTTATATTTAAGTGCTGCTGCTTTGGTATTTCACCTGTTTACTGTGATTTTACATATGAGTTATTAGTGTAGGGGTATACCTTCCATCAAGCGCCCTGGCAGCTGGAGTGTTGTATAAAATATAATTACACAGCCTTTTCCATAATCTCATCTGTGTGGGGCTGAGCAGGACCCTCTGACAACCCATACTGGTTATCTTTTTCAACAAGTTCCTATACAAAGCTGTTCCTCAATTTGCAAATTTGGCTTCAAAAGCTCTGTCAGGTGCTATCTTCGTTGTTCAGGAATGGGTTTGTTAATTTACATTGATAAACAAAGATAACATACAACATAAGCAATGAACTCAATCTGCAAAGGACAGAGTAGGGAAAAAGCCTGCAATGTTGTCAGGCATTACACACTACAGAGAAAAAATACAGGCTTATAAAACAAAATAGGGTGAGAAACAGGTTTTTTTTTTTTTTTAAATGCACCACTTCTTGCTATTAACATTAGTATGCAGTCTACTGTGGCTTGCAATATTGTATTTAAAGAATGTATTTATTCAATACCATAGTGATCCTGAGTACTAATACCAATGAGAAAGGGAACTGATTCAGCTGTTCTCATTGAAAGCGACTGCACAAACAAAACAATCAAATACTTCTCACATTCCAACAAGCAGAAAAACAAGAGATAATTATACAGAACGCAAGCAGAACTCACCATGACTAAAGCTCCAGTGCAGCTGAGGAATCTCTGTCTAACCGCTTTGCAATTTCACCTTAAATCTGCAGAGCTGTCGCAAGAGGTTTTTCATGGCAACTGTTACTAACAGTATCTCTATCTACTGCTAAAAACAGGGACTTCTTATACTAGCATGCAACACTCCTTCTGATAAAGCAGTTTCTGAACAACTCACAAAAAAGAACCACCTCGGCAAGAGATTCTCTCCCCCTCTAAGATAAATGGGTTAACTCGTAAGGAACCAGGAACCGTACATGCCAACAGGTTCACAGAGCAAGATGACAATTATGATACAGTGGCCAGAACCAATATAGATTACAGGGTAAATGAAATATACTTTAAGCTCTGCTTGTCCTGACGGTTTCTCTACAAGGACAGTGCCTTCCTTTCACAAGGAATTCTTACTAGGCAGAATTCATAGGCACTGGAGCACTTAAAGCTTGCCCTAACATGCCTTCTTTTTCTGCATTTCCTAAGCAATCTTTTCAAGCCAGAGAGAGTGACCTACCTATAAATATGAGCCTGCCTTCACTTAAGAAGGCCTGACATAGTATTTTTGGTATTTTGTTGTTACAATCAAAAGACACATAACTGACAGCTTCATTCGAGTCAGAGCAGGTTTGAGACTTCTCTTGCAAATAGTCTAACTGCTGTTGCATCCCGTTAGCCAAACAAATTTTGAAAAAATATCAGCCTTATCTGAAAACGTAAACTGTACGGATATGAAGCTCTCAGTCAACATTTAAGCCTTAGATGTGCATTCAATACCAAGCTCAGTGAGTGGTTCAATTGACTACTGTAGACTGCAAATTTCTGCATGATCAAATCTCATCTAACTGATCATATTGAGAATCTTCGTTTCCCTCAGATTCTCTACATTTTTACTATCTCCCTGCCTCTAAAAACTAAGAGCATCTACAGTTTATAGTACAAAAGTCATTAAATAAACTATCTTCTCCAAGGATCATTCCAAACAGTAGGAGTCACACTCTTTAACCATATCGTTACAGACAAAGTCTGAGACTGGAGAATATTGTGCAACCTGTTTTTAAGCAAAACTACCCAATCTAGAAGAGAGAGGCAGAGGAAGATAATTAGCAAGGTTTAAAACAAATGGAAAGCCAATTAACAACATGACTCCATGGAAAACTCCTATACTAATACTTATGCTCTCAGAGCTTGTATATATTTGCATTTAACTTCAAAGTTTATGAAAGCAATACTGATGTAATCCTGAGCCTTTGCACAGAAAACCGGTGATTTTAATGGTGTTCCAAACAGGCTCAGAAATTACCCTGCAGAGCGTGATTAGAGGCAAAGACAAGGTGGAGAGAATGGCAAAATTTGCTTCAGGAAAAAAAAAAGGCTATGTGCTAATAGTTTACAAGGATATTTGCAACTCAAGAGCTATATGACTTTAAAGTGCAGGCATTACCTATGTGTGTTTCTGAATTTACCTGCCAATTTTGGAAGGGGTGATGTAATATTTTCTCTTTTTTAAACCGTTCTTCCTTCCTCTTACTGTATTAAAAAAGCCCACATAAAGGAAACCAACAGGATTAGAAGGAAAACAGCGATACTGACACCCTGCTTGGCAGCGGGGACAAGAGCAACAGAATCTGTCAAGGTATAGGTGCCGGAGATTAAGAAGGAATTTACATGAAGTCAGCATAGAAGCAGGTCTCTATTTGTTCATGTTTATAGTGCACGTTTAAATGATTTTAAAACCTATATGAAGGTTTTTCTACTTCTGAGACTCTTACTGTCAGAACAACTCTAACATCTTTTGCATTACATACCATCTTCCTCCTATGATGAGCTTCAGAGGCCTGTATAAATACAGGCATCCATCCAAGAAAGAACACTTTAAGACCTAAGGTACACGTTTATTGAATGGATTTGCAAAAACATTTAAGGTCTAATACTGAGTGCGTCACTAAATACTCTTCTACAGAACCTCCATCAAATGATACAATAATTCAAATCTGTTTTCAACACCTACAAGGTTGCATTTATTTAGTCAATTTCACGCTAGTCGCAATATTTTCCAAAAGAGAACAGGCTTCATGAAGTAAGGCTCTTACTCCTTAGAACCACATTGAACTGGTCTCTCAGGCAAGATGTTATTAAAACAAGTATTACTAGAAGCCTACGATGTTTAGCCTGGCATGAACGTATCCATTTGTTTACTGTAATTTCAAAAACTTCGTTGAGAACGTCTTCCGAAATCAACAGTACAGCATCAAGACATTTAAGCTATTTTTCAGTATTTGACTGCATGCAATGTTTTTTAATTAAAATATTATTCTTAATTAAAACGCAGGACAAATCCTCTAAATGGAGAGACTGAAAAAAAGTCCTTCCCATATAATATTTATAACTTTCTGCTCTCAAAAGGTTAAAAATGATTTTTTTGTTTATGTTGAGCACTTTGGGATGGAAATTAAACATCTCCTACTCTAAAAGCTGCAACTAAGAGAAATAAACCTAAGCAGGGAGAACCAAGAATTCTGAAGGCATTCTGAGGTACAGATACCAAATTAGTACTGTTAAATACTTTTAGCACTATATATTTATATTTGAGTTTAAAAGATGTATAAGTATTTGGTGATCAATGTGCAGATGTCCAATAAACATCATTATAATCCTCGTTACTGCTACTATAACACGTAAAAGTATCTCAGCTAAGGCCAGGCTTACGACAGGTATAGCAGTGAGCCTGCTAAGGGATCTAATACCTGGGGTCAGCCACAAAAACTTCTACATCTCTATACCAGTATCCCTGTGTGAATAGATTCAATCTGCCTTACAAGTACTTACACAAAGGGAAATTAGTCAGGATGACAGTTTTTCCCAAAATCAAAGACCCAACATAATGAGAAGGCTTTTTCTTTCTTTTTTTTTCCTTTCTTTTTTTTTTTTAAATCACTTACAGATTGACTACAAAATACTATCCGTTAAAATGGCCCAGTTTTAAATTTACTTTGCATTCATGATCACAGGGAAGAGAGAAACTGTGAACCTCTAGAGAGGTTCTAAAGTTTTGTTGTTGGTGTTATCTAAACAGACAAAACCAAAAACATTTGTGGTAAAGCTGTTTTGTAACTCAGCGAGTTAACGTGGTAACTTTTGTAATAGTAGATGCAGTCTCATAAGAAAATCAAGTTAAAGAAAGTGACCTCAGAGCTACACCCATTGCCCAGTTTGCCTCTGTCCACATTTTCAACAAGCAGGCAATCTAAGCCTAGAGCAAACCAACTCAGTCCACTTAAAGAAATATTGAGAAAGAAATTGCTTTAGTGACTAAGAACCATCTATCTTGGGAAAAATGAATAATGAAAATTTCCTCACATGGTTGGTAATTTCTGCCCACAATTTTGCAAAAACAAAGAGGAAACACAACCTACAACACCAAGCCACAATTTATTAAAACTGTAACTAAAATATTGGACAAATAATCAGAATTGCTACCAAGTAAAAATAAGTTATTTATTCTTGTTACCAGCACTTCAGAAATACTAATGCTTACATATTCTCCTCAGGGTATCCTGTTTCACTTGTTCTACTTTGCTCTGCTTTAAAATACTGAAACCCAGCTAGCAAGTCATATTCCAGTTTACGGTCTGTATTTTTCCACTCTAAATTCAAATCTGTATGGTAATGGAAATTCTACATTATTGTGCTGATACATTTGAAACAACGAAAGTATTTCAGCTTTAGGCCCATGTAAATCCCAGTGCTTAAACAGTGGCCATGTGCGGGAGCACAAAACAGTGGGAGAACTGGTAATACTAATAAAAACTCTGCACACAAGGTCTCTGTATCAGTCTTCCTTTCACTATCACAGAAAGCGGGATCATGCTTTGTCAGCATTTTCTCATGGTGGCGTACAGACTCTAGAGCCCTTACTTTCCCTTGGCTGTGGACTGGGGTCGCAATTCTCCTCCCCCCCAATTCACGTTACTTTGTATGTATACAGAGTAGATTTTGCCCCACCGGTGAGTTTTGGCTCCCTCACAGCCAATAAACACTATATCTGGTTTGCCAATAACATGGTATTATGTCTTTGAACTTTGCTTGAACTAATAAACGAAAATACGGTTTACAGATTACTGTGTTTTGTATCATAGGTAAGTAAAAACATCTGGAGCTACTACACATTAGTATCAGAAAGACGAGAAAGCTTCATTTTCAGTTTCCCATGCCAGGTGTTTTCTTCACTCTCTCTTCTCACATCAGGTAGTCTCATAATGTTCACGTTATCAATGCTTTTCACAAGTGAAACACTATCTCGTTATTATGCCCAGGCCATTTGCATTTTGATGGTCTGCCCTTACCCGAATATGGGCTATGATACACTGACTACAGGGGAGGGAGCAGCTCGGCCGGATTCCAGCAGGAGCTGCCGCCACACGGGAAGTGGGAACTATGTGGAAGCCGGCAGGACACAGGCCTCATCTCAGATCCATACGGAGAATTCTCTTTACATTGTTTGAGCTCCCTTTTCAAGAGCTGGGGAGAAAAAGATCCACAGCTATTCATTCAAAAAAGAGACAGGACTATCAAGTTAACAACATTTGAAAGTCAATCTCTCAGAAAGCAATTAGAATGAACAAAGCAATGACCAGAAAGGATCCCTTTAGAGAAAGGAAAAAAGAAAAAAGGGCAACCAGGAGGAGTGGAAGGGTTTAATTCCAGATTGGGATGAGAGGAGCAACTCATCCCAAGGAGGAAGGAAGGAGGAAAGCCTAACAGCAAAAACTACACAGGAAAAAGGAAAAGGACAGTAGAGACGTAGGAGCTTAAATTCAGGAAACAAGGTGGAGAAGAGGAAAACATGTCACAGCTTGCTATTTTGATAGTAAGCTTTTTCCTAGCACAGTAGAGAACCTTAACAGCAATTACTAACATCTGTGACCCTAAACAATAAGTTACAATAGATTTCTCAAAGATTTGACTACCCTGACTAGGCAAGAACCCACTCCCGCTGAAGCCATTTGTCCAAACAGCATCCCCCCTTATTTATCTTTAAATGATCAATTC